GAGTGGCCCAATATTAGCACTGTTCTTCCCTCTCCAAGTTTCTGAACCACTTTAGAGATCGGACAAATGGGAGATCAAAGTGTAGGGAGGATGTCGCCTTTATTACCAATAAAGGCTCGTTTGGAGGAGGTCACTGATGGGCCTGATAGCTCTATGCTCCTGCCCTCCCCCAAACCCAGCTCGCAGAGTTAGCCCACCAAGAGGGAAAGTCTGAGTCCTGAGTCAACACTAGTCCAAGGTGGCCAGGGCGGCGTGCAGAGCACACCCCTGTGCGTACAGTTGGGACTCTCTCCACCCAGTGGTTGCACCTCAGCAGTGTGGTAACGATGGAGAGGGGTAGGGAGCCAGGCAAAAATAGGGAGGGCTTAGAAAAATGCTTCCTCAAGCAACCAGGGGAGTGAGGAAGAGGTTTTCTCCTAACAAAAACTTTTTTCATTTAACATAACAAAGCAGCATGCAGATTTTGTTTTATGTTTTATAAACGGAGACATTTTTACAGAAAAAAATAATCATTATATCCTACTTATATTTTGCCAGATTTACTTCAGAACTTTGCCAACCTGCATGCACACTTCATGTGGATGTTTTTATAGTCACCGTGTACATGGTGTGTCCATTCCTCCTTTTGTATTTGACATTGCTTCAAGAATCCTCATGTGTCTGCATCACCACAGGGTCATTTCGTTGCATTTCTCTCATTCCGAGGGAGGCCATGCATTTGTCAAGTGGCACCAGGACTTGATCTTTCTTTATTTACACAAATACTCTTCATACTTTGGAATAATTATTCTTTTATTAGCTAGCTATGTTTAGCTCATATTTCCCCATTATGCTGGGTTCTTTATTTGGTTTATAGCATTTTATTTTGCAAATTAAAAATAAAAAAGTTTTATGAGTAAGTCAGAGCTATCCATTTTGCGTTTCTTCTACACCACCTGGAAAATAAATATGTATGTGTGCAACACACATTTATTTACATTGTTTATTCTAGTTTTTAGTTTTAATTTTTAGTGTTTTATCTCTGAGAAATGTATTGCAATAATGGTTTAATATGTATATATGATGCAATTCTTTATACTCACACTCAACTATTATTTATTAAATGAAGAATTCTTGTCCAACTAGAAATACATTTTTAAACAGGTGTGGTTTTTTTTTTATAAACCATAATGATATACTAAAAAATCCAATTCAGTGCTGAGCTTAAGTTTATAGTATAGTACTTTTGCCTTTCAAAATTAAAATTAGCCCTGGCTGGTTTGGCTCAGCGGTTAGAGCGTCTGCCTGCGGTCCGGAGAGACCCGGGTTCGGTTCCCGCTAAGGGCATGTACCTCGGTTGCAGTTCGTCCCCGGCCCTGGTTGGTCGTGTGGGTGGCAGCCACTCGATGTGTCCCTTTCACATCGATGTTTCCCTCTCTCTCTCTTCCTCTCTCTCCCTCCCACTCTGTCTGTACAAAAAATGGGAAAATGTCCTCAAATGAGGATATTAAAAAAAAAAATTAAAATTAATACTTTTTTCTTAATCTTCAGAATATCACAAACCTTGAACCCACTCAGAACAAAATGTCTATCTTTCATACAACTTTTAAAAAGTCAAAACTGTTATTACATAGGTATCCATTAGATCCTGAAAAAATTCTAGTTGTCCATTCTTTGGGGTGGCATTCATCTATTTTAGAAAAAAAAAAAAAAAACACTCTAGTTACCTTAAGCTTTGAGGAAGTTAAATTGATCAGAAGTTGATGTCAGTCCCCCTAACACTAGAGAGCTGGAGAGGATTCCTAAAGCAAAATAAACAACAGCAAAACCATGATTTTAAAACCCACTTGGAGTACAGATGCAATTCCTAAGCAAACCAAAAAAAAAAAATCAAGTGAATCTTTTGGGCTTATCTTCTGGAACACAACTTTTGCATAAATTATGCTTTTAGAATATTCTAAAAATTCAATGCCAGACAGGACCCTCTCTAACAGGTGGCCTCCATGTAGTCAGAGCACATGTCTTGTCTTCCTTCACTCTCTCTCTTTTTTTTCTTTATGGAGAGGGAGAGAGAGATAGAAACATCGATGAGACAGAACATCGACTGGCCGCCTCCAGCATGCCTCCAGCTGGGGGATCGGACCCACAACCTGGGCATGTGCCCTGACCGAGAATCAGACTGGCAACCTCTTGGTGCGTGGGTTGATGCTCAATCACTGAGCCACACCGGCCGGGCTCACTCTGGCTTCTTTATCCTTATTCACACCAGTTGGTTCACACTACTTCCTCTCTGCTTTTCTGCATGTCACCACCACATCTTACCCCGCTCTCTTCCCCAGAGCATGCCTGTTTTCTCCGTAGCATTGGCACGGTGCCCACCTGACTTTGAGAGGAGAGGCGGGGCAGGGTGTGGTGAAGCCCTGGGGCTGTGGAGGCAACAGACTGGTTGTGGTTTCTACACATGTCATAAGGAGCCCATAGAAAACGTCTGCCTTCCTCGTGGGTGGTGTGAGGGTTGGCAGTTTCTGGTCCGTGATGCATGTTGTTAATTATAGGCTCTCAGCAGGTGTTTATCAATTGAGTGGATTAGTTCACTCTCACCTTCCCCTTCATCCTCCTTGATTTGGTGTTAACTTGACTGGACCACCGTCTTCATTGTCACGCCACACAAGAAGAGGGGAATCGGGCTGGCACAGCATCCGTGGCCAGTTCTGTGTTCAGTCCACTTCAGCATTCCCTTCTCTCCCACCTCTGTGACCTGACTTTACCTTGTCAGATGCATCCGCATCTGGCTCACATTGTACATCTCCACTCTACCCGACGGGTCTCTCCATTCTCATTGTCCTTCGTGACAAGTTCACATGCATGATCCGTGGATAGGAAATGCAACCTCCTGCTTTCTTGTCCTCTCCGAGGTTTAAACCAACCATGTCTGTTCCGTGTTAGCCAGATAAACAGCATTTCCTGCCCTAGATTTCATTATGAGAAGGCCAACCCAATGGTTCTCTAAGTGTGGAACAGTGCACAGCAAAAGCAGCTTTAGCATCACCCAAGATGTTAGATGTGCACTCTGGTCAGAAACTCCGGGAGTGGGACCCAGCGATCTGTGTTTCAACTGCTCCAGGGAACTGTGATGCTTGCTTACAGTTTGAGAACCACTGCCTTGACCACCTGTTCTCTTCCCTTCTTTCTCCCCTCCTCCTATCCACCCTTTACCAATTCTGGTAGGACACATCTTATGGTTGAAGGTCATTATTACAGGTAATTTTAGAAGATCGTGTAAAAGAGATGGTGATGATCTAGTTAGATGAAGGTACAAATAATCCAGAAGACTCAACCAGGAAAGTTAAATTCTTCCTGGAAAAAAAAATGTTTTTCCAATAATGCTACTAAAGTAATGCTGGTAAAGGTGCTGCTATACAATGCTGGTAAATAGTAAAAGGACATGGAGCCCCTCCATGGTCTTCAAGTTAATCAAACTTGGAATCACCAAGCAATTAGGAATTCCCAGCTGGTCCCTTGGCGTGAAGATGAGTATATTAGGTCCATTATATTAATGTTTCTACTTGTATATGTTAAAAAATGTCATAAGAAGAATTTTTAAATAACAGTTACTTAACAATGATAGCATCATTCTATGCCCATGTTATATGAACCCAAATAAAATGTTTTTCACTCCTGTTGCTACCAATCTTGGTCATAAATGATATTAATAATGAATTTTTGTACATATTGAATGGCTTTAGATATTTCTACTAGGTATGTATATACGTGTAGTATATATGTTGATAGATGATAGATAGATAGATAGATAGATAGATAGATAGATAGATAGATAGATAGAACATGATTATCAATGTTAATGTTGAAGAAATGACCATAAGCTAAGAAATTAGTGTGATCTGTACATCTGCTTCAGAAGATTTTTTTGCTATGCATTATATTTCCTCTATGTTTATAGAACATTCAGATCAAATATTAAATGTCCTTGAACCATAAGTTATCTGAAGCCTGTCAGTGTGTAGTTTACCCTGTTGAGCAGACGGTTCTACTGGGGGAGTGGGCCTGGCAGAGGGCCCTCCGTCACCACCTATCATTGTGGATAAAATTTAAGCCTTGGCAGGAGCAGAGCAAAAGGCTGAAGTACCCTAGTTTAACCTTGGAGTCATTTCACTGTTTCATTTCTACAAGTGAATCACCTTCCCTCCACTTTTAAGGCAGGTAATTGCCTCGCCAGTCTCTGTGTTTCTGACGAAGCATCATGTAAGAGTCTTTCATTTGGGCATTTACTCATTTAACTGGAACAGCTTTCAGTCCTCTTTAAAAAATTAACAACTTGAATGTCTAGTTGTCTAGGCCTCCCCTGGACTAGGATAAAACACAGGAGTGGGGGTGGGTTCGATGTGACAAATGGCCACTGTGCAGGCACCTTTGGTCCTCACCACGGTGTTAGCGAGCTGCTTGGCTGAGCTCCAGGCCAGATCGGAGTCGGCCTGCCCAAGGGCCGAGTGGTCAGTGGGGAGCACTGGACAATTTGGGCACTTCCCGGCGTTCTTGGTGGCCACAGCCTTTGAGCTGGGACTTGGGCAGAGAGAAGACAGGGTGAGTTTCCCCCAGGCCTTGGAGGGCCCTGCTCTGGGCACTCGTTGGATGATATGAAGCCCTTTATTCCTGAAGGAGGAATTCCTAATCCTGGTTTTCCAGTCTCTGAGACCTGCTCAGTTTTTCCAGGTTGAAGAACAATTTTTATTCACTTTCATTAAAAAAAATAGAGACAAAATATGGTAGATTATGGTTAGAAAGGTGGAGAGCACACACGCAATTGGCTAAAGGTCGCTGGAAATGGTTGCCCTGCAGTTAGAGGGTATGTCTCTCAAAACAAAGTGAGTGTCTCAAAGGCAAAAGAACAAGTGTGGACCGGGATGAAGACTCTCAAACACATGTAGCCCAGTCACTGGGCTATAAACGCCCCCTTCCCTGGGAGGCAGGCACGTCTGACTCTGCGCCCCTCTCTCTGACAGATGGGGAGCTCTCCGTATCGAACGAGGACGACTCCCTGGAAAACGGACAGTCCCTGAGCGCCAGCCAGCTGTCCCTGCCTGCCCTGTCGGAAATGGAGCCGGTCCCGATGCCCAGAGATCCCTGCTCCTACGAGGTGCTCCAGCCTTCAGACATCATGGATGGGACAGGTAAAGGCCCTGCGAGAGCTGTAACCCAGGCCCCCGCACGGCATGTTGGCAATAGGATCTTGGGCCTGGCTGGACCTTGGGTTCTATGGTGAGCCACGCTGAGTATAAGAATCTCCTGGAAATAGGAATAAAACTGACCAACTAGTACATCCTGAGTATAAAAATGGGGAGGATATTTGCAGTTATTGTTCTATAGTGTTAAAAATATTTTTATACTTTTAGTATCTTTAGAGAGATGTACTCTGTTTTTGTAATATTGGTTTCAAAGGCCGTTGTTTTGTTTTCGAACACTCGGTTCTGTTAGGATCAAGCTCAAGACTCCTGCACTTCTGTACGCACCGGACCAGTTCGCCCGCCTGCAAGGCGCCGGCGTGCCCTCTGATTCGAGTCGCAGTGTGCCAGTTCATGGCTGTATCAATTTAGCAAATCGTATCAACTCACTACGTACAATCAATGTGTTCATTGGCCGTTTAACTGTTTACAGTTCGCTGGTTAACTTGTACCCTGCCAACAGATGACTTTGAGGCCATCTAACCGTCACTCCCTCTCTGGTCCCAGGCCCTCTGCGTGGCCAGGATTCATCCCCTCAGGAGGTTTTCAGAATAGTCATTACCTGAAGCTGAGACCCTCCCCACAGCCAGTAAGGACTGGTCCTTGGGTCAGGAGACAAGCCTGGGGGAAGGGACGTTTGGACATCGCTGGGGCGGGTAGAAAGGTCATGCCCTTTCTCCACCCCAGCTCTGAAGTCTTCATTAGCAGAGCTCGGGTGGGAGGAAGGCAGAGATGGTGTCTCGCAAAGTCAGTTCCAAGGCTTCACTTTGGGACCAGGTGAGTCATTTCCCACCGGTGTGTCCCACACAGAGAATAACAGTGTCCCTTGAGGCAAAGGGAGAATTGAGCACTCGGGAGGGTTATTTGCAGGGCTTTGCTGCTGCACGGAACACTGCCGCCCAGATCAGCGAGGAAGAAGGGCATTCTTATTGTGGCAGCGATGGGAGGAAGGAGGAGATGCAGCTGAGTTACATCCCCCACCCCCCAGGCAGTGAACTGTGTTTTTATCCAACCTTCCTGGAACATTGAATCCAGTGGGTTTGATCGGCATAGTGAGTTCTGCCATTTCCAGAGACGTCACAGTTCCAGCCTGTCACCTGCCAGGAGGCCTGCCTGAGACGGCTCTTCACTGGAGCCAGTCGGGGTCCCCCATGAGGAAAAGGAAAAATCAGGGCCAGTGCAGAGCAAAGAGAAAAAGGGGAAATTGAAACAAGAAACCCGTAATTCTGGCAAGTAAGAGGAGAGAGGAAGGGGGAAGACAGAAAGGTGTTGACTGGAGCATCCTTCATCTTATCAAGGTTTGTAGAAGCTGCAGGGGCAGAAGGTGCCTGTGAAAGTGTAGGGCGCCCCCTGGAGGCTGCTCCCGGCTCCAGAACCTGAGGAGCAGTCACCCCAGCCATGTGATGGGCCCACCGATGTCAGCCTCTAGGACATCTTCATTACCTGGTGTCCCAGACCTGGGAGCAAAGCCCCATGAGACCCAGCAGGCAGAAACAAGAATCCACTCTCTCTTTCTGCCTTGAAAAGGGCAAACAGCCCAAAGGAAGGGCTGGCGTTGGTGCTGGTTTGGGTCAGGGGGTCCGAGGGGGCTCTTCCTCCCTGGTCCATCACACCTGCCATCAGTGGGCTGTCACAGCCTGGAGCACCCGCAGAATTGGTTCTATAAATGCCGAAACCAAAGTGACGAGCCTTTGGATAGTTTTGAGAACATGCCTCCTTCCTTCCTCTCCCTCGTGGTCCTTCTACCTCTCCCTCTCCTGCCTCTGCCTCCCTGCTGTGCCCCACCCCAACCACTGTGCTTTGTCGGATCCCGGCGTCCTCTCTCTAACTCTGCACACGTGCTACCACCTGGAGTAGTCGGTACGCTGCCGTGTCGCCACCCGCATCCCTGTCCTGTGCGCTCCTGCCAGCCCCCCCACACTGCGTTTGTGTAATGTCTCCTGTGTGTCCTGTGTCGTCCCCTCAGTGTCTGAAGAGAGTCCCTCTGCCAGTGAGTCTGGAGTCCTCCTGTCCCAAGATCCTTCAGCCAAACCAGTCCTGCTACTGCCCCCCAAAAAACCTGCTGCTTTCTCTGGAGACCATGAGGAGACCCCAGTGAAACAGCTGTCCCTTCTCAAGCAACCCCCCGCCCTGCCTCCCAAACCCACTGCCAGGATTGCCAACCACTTAACAGGTGAGTCAAGACGTCTCTGGGGGCCCGCCGCCCTCCCTTCCCTTCAGGGGATAATCTCTTCTCTCACTTTTCACCTGAAGCCTGAGCACCTCCTTAGTGAGGCTGCTCCGGGGGACATGTGGGTGTTTCTGTGTGTGTCTGGGTACACACGGTCATGCCTGGGTTTGTGTGTTTGTGTCAAGAGATATTCGATATACACCTACCAGTCCTATGCCGAGAGCTTTCAGCCATGTGTGTCTGTAAATATGTACGTTGGCAGCTATGTGACTAATTTAAGACTATTGGCCCATCTAGGTGAATTAGGTTCAATGTCAAAAATTTTTGCAAAGATAGAGTAGTGCCTTGTTCCCTTCATAATGAGTTTGTCAAAGCTTTAAATTATTGTCTTTAAATTATTGATCTGAAGCCCAGCATTATTTCTTTTAATTAAAATCTGTATCTGCGCTGTTCTCTTATAAATAAAAAAGGGTACAGACAATAATCTGTAAAGTGTCGTGAGAAATATTTTTAAAAGAAGAGTAAGCGTAGAAAGGTTGCCCTAAAATGACTCTTGTATTTTAATTTTTAAAGTGTTACTTAACAAATGTACCGACGGCTATTGACTCGGGCACCTGGTAAATGGCTCTTCCCTGCCTATCAGCCCGGGGATCGCAGCACCTGGGGTCGAGGTGGTGGTGTGTCCGAGACTAAAGATTTCAGGGGGTTGTTTCTCCACCTTGATACCCCACCTGATACTGACCGGCTGCCTTTTTGCAATGTCTTTGGTATTCTTACCGTTTCTGCTCATCTCTGTACATTTCTGTGAGATAGAAAGAGATAGAGGTTGGAGAGAATATTCACCTATTTTATCATAGAAACATGGAGGATCAAGAAAAATGAGTGGCCCTGGCCGGTTTGGCTCAGCAGTTAGAGCGTCAGCCTATGGTCCAGAGAGACCCGGGTTCGGTTCCCGCTAAGGGCATGTACCTCGGTTGCAGTTTGTCCCCAGCCCTGGTTGGTTGTGACAGTGGCAGCCACTCGATGTGTCCCTTTCACGTCGATGTTTCTCTCTCTCTCTCTCCCTCCCTCCCTCCCTCCCTCCCTCCCTCCCTCCCACTCTATCTGAAAAAAAAAAAAATGGAAAAATGTCCTCTGGTGAGGATTAAAAAAAGAAAAATGAGTGGCTTTTCCTGGGCTAGCAGAAATTCCACCTTAGAGGCACGGTTGGACCTGTGGTTCCCAGCTCCTAGTTCAATGGATGTTGTTCCTGGGTAGTGGGACGTCTCTCACGTAGGGCTGAGTTTCATCAGAGTCCAGCCTAAACATGGGGTTGTGTCAAATTACTCCATCGATGTGTGCACCCACCTATGCAGATGTTTGTGGTTTAAAAGAGCAAATTTCCAACTAAAGGAATCATCCACCACCTTAAATACACTTTAGTCAGTGCCCCAAAATGTAAGTGCATGGAACACCACAAAGGAGAAAATGCTCTCATAAGCCCGCCTCTAAGAGAGCACCCCTGTCCATCTGTCTGTCTGTCTACCTATCTAATAAAAGGCAAGCCCTGTTGTCCAGGCTCGTATGTCTGCTCTGTGCACGTGGTGATAGCTCGTGAACTGATTCTCACATGAGTGAAGGTACACATGACTTGGTTGGCTGCTTGGTGCAGCCCCGGATTTACCTGACTGGCCTCTTTGGGGTTGGGGCTGTCCGTCTTCTCTCATATGAAAAGCACAGCAGCACACATCCTCGGCAGCACGCATGTTTCTTTCTAAGCATGTTTCAATCTTCAATAGTTTGTTTCTAGAATTAAAATTGCTTATTTATCTATACAGTGGACCTTTGAACAATGCATGAGTGAGGGGTGCCAACCCCCTGTGCGGTTGAAAGTCCCCATTTAACTTTTTGACTCCATACAAACTTAAGTTTCCCCTCAGTATCTGCAGAGGATTGGTTCCAGGACCCCTGCGGATACCAAAATCCAAGGATGCTCAAGCCACCTATATAAAATGACGCAGAACAATGCATACAGTCAGCCCTCTGCATCTGCGGACTCCAACCTCAAATCTAAAAATTATTCATTGAAAAATCTGCATATAATGGACCCACGCAGTTCAAACCAGTAGATAGATAGATAGATAGATAGATAGATAGATAGATAGATAGATAGATAGATAGATAGATAGAGGCAAAATAACCATCATCAAGAGTGATCCTTTCAGTTCAGTGCATGCAATCTAAGACAGGTGACTGGAGAAGGCTGAGTGTGAGCTGACCCTGGAAGTATGAAGGCATCTGTAGAGAACGAGGAAAGAGCATTCCAGGAAAGAAGACCCTGATGGAGACTCAGAGGTGGCAACGTGCGGGTCAGTGGCCAGGTGGTGGCGCCAGGGCGGGCCCGTCTCGGGATGTGTCGAGAGGGTTCACTGGGTAAGGCATAGAGGATTCGGGTCGTGTTCCCGGGCAGTGGGAGCCTGTAGAGGTTTTTGAGCAGGGACGTGATATGATGAAATCTAACCTTTAAAAAATGTTCCTGGGTCACTGTGTAGATTGAACAGAAAGAAGAGAGGGTTGAAGGCCTGACGTGGAAGCCACCGAGGCCAGCCCTCTGCCTCCTTCCCCAAACTCACCAACTGGACTAAACGGAACAGTTTGAGCCTGTGTAAGTGGTTGAAATACGAGCTAACAAGCATCTGGCTGATAGCAGTGGGCAGAGAGAGAACAGAACATTAGATAAGACATTTTGAAGAAGAATTGACAGAATTTCTTAGCTAACAACACCCTTTAATTGATCTGGTTATTTAATTAATGAAGGAACACGCCATTCATTCATAGCTTCAGCTCTGAGCCCTGAACTTGGGGAGCCTGGTATCCGGAGGACTCTTGATATTTGAGGAACTGAAGATATGTGAATTAACCCAATCTCTCTGGCTTCCCTTGCCTTTCCCAAGAAGACTGGACTTTATCTATTATCTATAAACCTCCCCTCCACATCAAATGGATAAAAAATACATAGAAGCCAGTCATCCTTACCACATTGTACCTGGCAGCCCCTTAAATATGATGAAGACAAAACAGGTGCAGAAGCCTGTGGGCTATGATTCTGGCGCTATCCTTTGGGTTTAAAGTCAATTAGACTTGCTTAGTTTTTATAAGTGAGTAATCATCATAATGAATCTGCATCACCATGAGGCAGCTATATGAACCCTGTTCTCTTACTAATCACTCTGGAGACATCTGGGCCATGTCAGAATGAATTAATAAACTAAGAATTCTAAAATGGTTCATTGAGAATTCTAAAGCTCTAAATTGAAACGTCGGAGTTTCAACCTGTTCTCAACGTCTGTTGTTCTGTTGACAGTTTTGAAAGGAAACACAGGACAATTTGAAAGACAGCGAGCATGACCGACGGAGAAGGACGGTGGTGAATGGTCTGGTAGGGGGCTAGAGGACGCATGAGCCTGAACTGGGGCTACTTCCAGGTGCCCGCTTAGGGGGAAAGATGCAGAAATATCTCTGCTTTGGTGTTTACCTCCACACCCATCAGGAAAACCATAATTAACTTGGAGACTGTTTGTCTTACCAACGTTCCCTGTCCGTGGGCCAGGTAGAGAGAAGCCCTCCTGCTCGCCCAAACGATTTCTCTTTTCTCCCACTGTCATTCTTTTCCACCTCATCTTCTCCAACACCAGCGTGCACAGCGGCACGTGGTAAAGGTCAGGAGTGTTGGGCACCAGATTCCCTTCCACTCCAGAAGCACAGTGCCTAGCAGAGCTGGTTGCATAATGAATATGGTCTGAGATGAATGACTCTCAAAATGGATCCTTCTTGGACGATGGCTGACCCTAGAGGAAAAGCTGACTGAGACAAAAACCCACTGTTCTCTTTCTTTCTAAGTCTTCACCAGTCACCTCTCCAGCCATCCTGTCTCCAGAAGTCGAATGTCAGGCAGGGCACGAATAATCCATGCCTCCTGCATAACGTACCTGTGGCCAGGTGCCCCGTGGGCCACTGAACAGAGGACGGTCAACAAGGTAGCTGGGCCTCACAGTCGGACCTTCACACCTGAGCAGGACTAGTGGCAGCCGCCCGATTTTGAGAACTTTACAACATACCATTTGGTCCTGTGAGGTAAATGTGATTATGATTATTCTGTCCTTTCTCGGGGGAGAAAAGTGAAATTTAGAGAATTTAAGTGACTTGGCCATGGTTACATAGACTAGATCTATATCACTGGACTCCAGGGCCCTCATTAATAACCATCAGTTTACACATGTCCGCCAAGATACCTATTCCTAAAATTCAGAAACAAAAACAAAAAACAAAATCGTTTGCTTTCTTTGGTTTTTTGTTGTTGTTTTTCTTTGTGTGTTTTAGTTTGTTTAAGACAAAATAATTATCCAGTCTTTCAAAAATAAGGTGTATTCTGAAGGCACTTGGTTGCAAAAAGGACCTGAGCACAGTTGGGTTGGGTTTCAAAGAACATGCTAGAAGGAGAGTCTGTAGTATTCAAGAATGGGGCAAATAACATTGGAAGCATTTGGCCACAATTCAGGGGTGAATAAAGGCAACTGTTGCTGCTCCTTAAAAAACAAGTCCTGCTGTTAATGCGAACAAGGCTTATTCGCAGTCTTTAGAACCTGAAATACAAGGAAACTTACTATTATCAAAAATCCGTTGATTGCTAGTTTCAACATCACAACTTATTTGCATGTGCAAATTTACCTGACAAATGCCATCCATGCCCGGTGGTATGTTCAGCCCCAACACATGTCTGATGCCAGTCCTCTGTCCAGTGCTTGTCAAGCCCAAGCCAGTATTCCTGTTTACAGCTCTCTCTCATTTTGGGGGGCACTGTCTACAATGGACTTTCCGACACTTACACTCTGATGTGTGATTTCGCTTTGTTTCTCTGTTGTCCGATTCTGTCTGTCCCCCACTGCTTCTCAATATCCCACCCATCCAGCCTCCTCTCCAACCCTATGAAATCGTCTAACTGCTTCAGCCTCTGGCCTGGCCTT